AAGAAAACGACTTGTCGTTGAAATGTTATGACGAAAGGAGTAAACGACTCCACTTGATCCGCGTTGTTTGTTTGTTTTTTTGTTTTTTTTTTGGTGTGACTACTGATTTGTTCTTCCCCAGCAAGTCACTTCAGGTCCCCACTATGTGGCACTCTTCAATGGCCTTGGCCAACTTCTTGGGCAAGGTTGCATTTGCCCAAGTCGTTGTACTATCTGACCTCCTCATTCCTTGTAGTGTACAGTCAGAACGGAGAGTCCAAGCGCATGGGACCTTGCCCCTGGCATCAAGGTGGGGGTTGGCTGGTATGTACTGTGAGAAACACGACCGTTTCTATGCTCTCTTGATAGCACGAGGGATTAGGTCCCATTTACCATGATTTACGTGTTTCTTACCACTGATTTGTAATCAATGGCCCAGGGGGGGAGAATACAGGCAAATTGTAACCAAAAAAAAAAGAAAGAGTCCAAAAAAAAAAAGGGGGGGGTAAATCCACTTCAGGGATTCCTCGAATACGACACATCCTCACCCAACCCTAAAGCTGGATTGGATATATTCACGATTTTCCTCGCTTTGGAGTAAAATTTGCAAAACCGGGACTGAAACCCATTTAAAACTGAAAACCTTGACTGTGCCCAAGTTCCCCCCCGCACCCCCCAAAAAAAGACCGCATCCCGTTGTTGTCCCCTCAGGCAAGGTGGTTGTAGGCAGAGGATAGCGTGGTGCTCCGGTGAAATTATCAGGTAATCTCCTGCATTCTCTTCCCATTCATGATTCATCCTCGCAGTGTGTTGTGTTTGATGTTTTTTCATTTCAACATGTTTCAGAGGTGGCATTTGGCTGCCCCGAGAAATGTCAAAATGCCTCCACGTGGCAGCATCACGTCTTCTCTACGTTTACTTCTCCCGCCCCGCCCCTATGGCATAATGACTGTTTCCTAACAACAAACTCGCCCTGGCTCATCTGGGCCAAAAAGGGCATCTATACGGTTGGGGACCTGTGGGACCCGGTGAGAGGGGAATGGGCAACCCCCCGACTGCTGCAAGAGAGGCTCAAATATGTAAAGATCGTAGAAGAAAAGGCTGGCCTGTTAAGAGAGGCTCTCCCCCTTGCTTGGCAGCACACACTCAAGGAAGGGCCCACTGTCTTGCAAGATGACTGGGTAGTTAAATTTCCTGATCTGCCCCTCCCCTTGACCATCTACAGGGTGAAGGCCAGGGAAAACAACGAAGGGCCTTGTGAATTGGAAGCATACGAACTCCACTCGCACAGCCAGACTTTCAAAGATAACAAGGAAGGAGAATCTGAACACAACATATGAGTGGGGAGGACTCATGCAGGTCAGAGTGGTGGGGGACCCCAAAAATGGCTTCTATGTATACGAAAGTCCCACGCAAGTGGTCGAGCTCCCATTTGACCCATCTGAATGGGAATGGCCCGGACCTCATCCCATGCATGCATGGGATTATACAGTCAAAAGGGGCTACAAGGCGTCTCACCTGGACCAGCAGATCAACCACACAATAGCAGGCAGATGGGCATGGGAGTCGCTACTGGAGCCCAAACTTTCAGAATCCTCTACCTGGTCCAGATATGAGAAAATCATGCCCACGAATCATAGGTCTCTGCAATGGCAGATCCTACATCGCTGCCTCCCCACCCCCGACTGGCTTGTGTCGCGTACTGACCTTGAACAGCAAGGGAAGCTGTCACCCATCTGTGCTTATTGTGGCGGATCCCGACAGCCAGCCTGAGCAACTCTTGAACACCGCCTGTTGGCGTACCCTATGGTTACCCAGCTATGGCAATGGTGGGACTTGGCCTTCCATTCCCTCACTGACCACCATATACCCTGGGATCTTGGGCTCATACTATTGGGAGAACAGAGATGGCTGCTGACTCACTGGTCCCCCTTTGCGACCAACCTTTTTTCCTACACAAGGCTGCACCTCCTCATGCTCGCATGGAGAGCCCGATGCTCCTTTGAAAGGAAGGACCGCGAATTTGGATTGCAGCAGGCACAACAAGCCATCGTGGAAGACATCAGGGCTAAGACCCAGCAAGCCTGGAAATCCATGAAACGACAACACTTCGAAGAGAAAGATTGTGACGAACCACTTTCTGTAACGCGCGATTTTCTGTGCGGTTGCAATGAGGGGTCCTAAGCTGGGAAGATTGGGCTAATTACGGGAAATCGGGATCGGTGGAAAATTGCATCAGTACCCTTGCTTCTTCGGGGCTGGGTGTGTCCTGGGACGGTCGGTTGAGTGATTGGTCGGATGGATGTCTGGCGCGCCACCACGCGCGCGATTTATAAATCTTAACGCCGCTCCTTTCGTTTCGGTTTCGACCTTTTGGGCGCGGACATCGCGCGGGAAATTGCTTCGTTCTTTCCAATTTTTCCTTCGAGTCTTTTTTCAAATTTTGTCTAGCCCCCCCCCCCGATGGCTCTCGGAATTTTGGACTTTCCTTCTGAATGTATGCTTTTTGCTTTTTTCGCATTAGATAGGAATTTAGGAATTCAGTAATTAGGACTTTTTCTGCCGCGGGGCACCTTTTTGTCTACGCGCTTCTTCATGCGGCTGCAACGGTACTCTGATTAGTGGGCGCCCCGAATCGCGTGTGTAAATGTAATTTTGGGCGGGCGCCATTGTAACTGTATCCTTCTTCTTGCACTTCGTCTCTCCCGCCCTCCCTCTCTTTCTTTTGCTGAAATTTTTGTAGGCCGCGGTTTGCATGCTCGGATCGATGCGTGGAGAAGGGTTACGTCCCCCACGCCGCGGCCGATCATGCAGAACGCWGGCGCTCCCTCTCTAATCTTCACTCTAAGTCTTGGTAATTCCGTGTTCTTCGCGCATGCATGCACGCTATAAATTTCGTCTGCGCGAYTAGTCAGCTCTCTTAACCCGTTGTTAGAAGCTCGGGGTTGCGCGATCAGGAAGGGTTGGCACACGAGCGAAGTAAGAGGTGAGTAGAGTAGGAGTTGGGCGACCCGACGGGCTGGTGCCGAACGCGCGGGATTGACGTGGGCCACGACGGACTGTGGGCACGGGCGAATCCAGCGGGTGCGGGAAGACTAAGCGGGGTGACAACTTCGTGGGTTGGTGCGTGACGACGGACTGTCCGCATCGGAAAGAGAGAGAGAAGGAGAGAGTTGAGGTCGATGGACGTGGATTTGCTGTTTCTTTGACTTTTCTCTCTCTTCATCTGTGTACATACATTTTGATTGCGGCTCCGGGCGGTTTGCCCGTTCTTATTTTCGTTTTGGCTCTATGAAATTTGGACTTGGGTCTTTTGCTCACACTTGTCTTTGCTATGCCCGTCCCGATTGCATTATGTGTATGATAATCGAATGAATGGATGTGTGGACGCTATGCCTGCTTATCTATATTTTTGTTAAGAATCCCTATCCTTACCTTTTGTTTGTGTCGAATGAATGGATGTGTGGACGCTATGCCCACACCTGATGCAGCTGTAGATGGGATAAGAGTCTGGCCTCGATTATAGCGATTTTGTTCTCGTTTTTGCTTATCTCCCGATGAGGGTTGTGATATGGTTGCATCTGGCATAATCAAAACTCCCGGAGCAATTAGACGATCCGAAGTCTGGCCCCGCGATCGCCGTGCGAGAACACGTGTAAACGTGATCTGAGTCGCGTCCTTACACACATTCCCGTGCGTCGATTCGCTCACCCAAAAAGACTCGCGGCGGAACCGTCATCCCGTACGAGCACGCTGAGGCGCCACTAAGGTTGCCTGCCCTGCACGTGCTCGTGCGCGGTGATGATATCCCGACCCGAGCTATCCCATCGACGATGATACCATGACGCGATCTTGGAGCTCAGACTCATTCTACGACCCGGACTATTTCACCCCGTGGATAAACGAGCTCATAAGGACGCGATACCCCTGTCACATGGAGAATCGACTATGTCCGCGAGAATTCCACTGCGCCACCTCTAGCGACCCTCGGTGCTCTGATTTCCCTTCCCCCGACCACACCTACTACTTCACCCACCCGGGATTCGTTGTCATCACCACCAGTTTCCCTCCTTTCCGCCTTCTTCTCCCGTATCATCAGTTCAGTGTCGTTCCGTGGCCGGCCATAGCCCCCTATTGGCCCAGTACGTTTTGCGTGAATTGTCGACGTAGCGGAGAACAGAGAACTCCAGAGTTCCGAAGGCCCAACCCAGGTACGCGGCGGCCTGCACCACGTGGCGGTCCCCGACGGCCTAACTTTTCAGGACCGCCTCCACCGCGGAGGGATTTCCCCGTAACTCGTTACCCACAGTGTCCCGGCCCCTTCGGGTTGTGAGACCCTTGCGTGCGCGCCCCTCATTCGCCTAATTGCATTCATACCCCTAAGACTCCCCCACTTTCCCAGAAATCCTTGGCACACCTCCTTTTCGCACTTCCAGGCCCACATCCCACTCCAATCAGGAAGTCATGCTGGGCGTGAGGTTGGTATCGGAGCCCGACACGTGGCTAGGCTCTTGGGGTTGATAGCACATTAGTTAGGCGACCTGGCTAACCGTGGGCGACCTCGCCCTCGGAACGCGCATAGACGCGACCCTATCGTCACCAGAAGCCGATCGGCTAACCGGCGAGCAGCCAATATGGCTGCCAATGTGCCAAATCCGGTTCCGCAACAAAATGCTAATCCACCCAATCAACCTGCCCCATGTCGCCACCAGATCTCTATCTATTTGATCCGACGCACCATCTTGCATGAGCATGGCTGGCCACGCTTAGAGCACAGCAGTACGATGATCACGAAGCACAGATCAATATTCCGGTCGAATGGGAGGAGACGCCCATCATTGGTATAGTACCTATGTATGGGTGGATCTCCCGACCTTCGAACGAGATTTCATGAACCGATTTGATTATGTCCACCCTGAGCAAGTGTTGTACATGATCAAGGACCGAGTGCAAAAACCGCTCGAATCCGTTGCAGAGTATCGAAACCGGTTCTACAGGATATTTGTAAAAACTGAGCGAGGTGAGCAAGTAGGGAGAGATCTGTTCATTGACGGACTCCGCAGTCGAATGATAAGGGCTACGTTGCGAAAGCAATTTCCCCCCATCACTCATACGCTACAACAAATTATGGCTGTTGTGGAAGAAATGGAACGGAAGTTCACGGCGAACTTCCTGGAAGGAGAAGACTTCCCTAGAGACGGAGACTCGACCGAGCTCGCACGAGCAAGAGCAGAACTGGCTGCTTTGCAGAACAAATTTGAAAACATGGGATTTGTATCAGGACCTGTCATCTATATGGAACAGATAGGCCCCAAACGAGTAATCCTAAGCGAGACTCCGAGCATCTCTGCTCCTATGATGCCCCCGCCCGTCAGGGCGTTACCCCCGCCACCAGCTGAGGCTCCCGCGCGAACAAACGAATCAGTGGCCATTTTTGAACTAACCAAAACCTTGATTGGTTTGATCAAAGAAAGCAAAAAGGAGCAGCGAGAGCACAATGCTCGGCTAGAAGCCATGATGAGGAACATGCGACCCATTGCGGTACGTGCCCCCCCGATGCAGCAAGGGTTAGCCCCGGCCCCGGCGCTCGGAGGAGTCGCAAATAATCTGAATGTCTGTGATGCCTACCATCAGCTAGGACATCTGGCGCGTGATTACCCCCACCTACCCCCACAACAGCGGATCGGGGTCGCACCTATGGCTGTGGCCCCCATCGCCAACGGACCTGGACAAGTTGGGGCCTTGATGGAAGAAGTAGAGGTTGGGGGAAGTGTTCTGGCCACCACGGAAGAGGCCGCCGAGCTAATTCCGTTAGATCAGTACGTATCGCTGGGATATCCTGGACTTGGAATGATCGGAACAATCAGACCAGCGCCAGAACCAAAAGAGGTGGCGGAGTGGCGACCGTCCCTGTGAGAAATGGAGTCGTGAGGACCCACCTTCATCACGGGGGAGATCGATGTATTAGACATCGTCCGAGCCTTGGACCATCGGATTCCCCTTCTGATCGGTCATCTACTCTCGATCTCTGAGCAAGCCAACCAGCGAATGTTGCAACATTGCAAAGCGAATCGAAAGCGATTCGCCCTCGCCCGAGCACCGAACGTAAAAGCCAAAGGCCCCTGCGTCGGAAGAAAACCCAACAAACACTCCGGATCCGATACGGATATAATTAATTCAGAAAGACGATCATTTCCTACGGATTAAACTGATTCCGTGGAAATCCGCAGAGTGCGATATAGAAATTTGGGGAATTCCTTACAGCGCAATTATAGACTCGGGAGCAGCTGTGTTGGCTATTTCCCTGAGAGTCGTCGAAAGGGCAAGTAGGAAAAATGACCTGATCATGCTTTCTGAGAAAGATCGGCTCATTTCGACTGACGAAGAGAGGATTAAAATCGTGGGAAGAATGACCAATGTCGCCTTCCGATTGGGTAAGGTGCACGCTCTTGGGGATGTCGTAGTACTAGATGTTAATACGTACGACGTTCTTTTCGGACTTCCCGCTCTTGTGGCGTTACGAGCAAACCTGGATTTCGTCGTCCTCCGAAATACAGGAGGAAAACCCTACGCTGTGCCCATGCGATTGACCCTTCGTACCACTATTAACGCGGTTCTGCGGGTTTCGCCTATGATGGCAGGGACTCTCCGCATGATCTCCTGGGACGAACTCGCAGAAGGAAAATCATCTGATGATGCGGAAAGCAGTGACGAAGATGATCTGGAGATCTTGAAATTGGTACGACAACGCGTTTACTATCGCCGCCCAAAACGATATCGAGAACGATGCAACTGACCAGCCGAAAAATTCAAAGGACCAAGGCGATGATCTTGGGAGAGCCCCTCGTGCAGATTTCGAGGATGGTCGACTCTTTGGAACCCCCTCAAACTCTATACGAAGGGATCACCCCTCTCCTCGCCAGGTATAGCGACAAAAAACATTATTGCGACATTACGAAACTGCCTAAGTCTTTACTAACATCGGCTAAAGAAGTGAGATTGTTATGCTTGGGGGCGGATGCAAGCTCTCTGGATCCCCCTGAGCGTTTCGAAGCAGAAACAGACGGGCTAGGGATAAGGATCGCAACTAAGGAAGTGTCATGGCAGGATGTTTGTGATGGGATTACCCCGGAGGGACACGTGGCAATCCGGGAAGAAGATGCCCTGATGATGGCCACGATATTCTCCTGGCGATCGGACCATTCATCTCGGCGCCCCCACCCGACTTGGCAAAACAGGCAAACACGAAACAAGTTGACGTTCGGATCTGGGACCAACTTCTCCAACTACACGTTCCACAGTATGTGCCGGATGAAATCCACCGGGTAATTGTGGATATTCTGACGGAATATCAAGGAGCGATTAGTGTGTCAGACACTGACATTGGGTTGTCGTTAGTAATCCAACATGAAATTCACACTGGAAATCACTCCCCGATTCATTGCAAACCTTGTCGGTATTCCTTGATTGAACGCAAAAAGGCTCTCGAACGAATTCGGGAGTCCGAAGCCAGCGGTTGCATTGAACCCGCTACCGGACCTTGGTCTTTTCTCGTAGTGTTAGTACCGAAGAAAAACGGAGCAATTCGCATTTGCATTGATTATTGCAAGCTGAATGAAATCACGATCAAAGATGTGTATCCCCTCCCCCGGATTGATGATCTGTTGGATGCGATTGGATGCGCTAATTATTTCAACAAGTTCGATATTCGGCATGGCTTCCATCATATTCTGGTAAGGGAAGAAGATCGGCCGAAAACGGTCTTTGTGTTGTTTGAGGGCACGTGGCAGTGGGTTCGGTGTCCGATGGGGATTTGCAATGCGCCTGCCACGTTTCAGCGAGCGATGAACATGACGTTCTAGAACTTCGTCAACAAGATACGGCTGACGCAGGGAATGATCAACTTCTGCGTGATCGTGTACATGGACGACATCCTGGTCTATTCGGAGACCTATCACGGACACGCTCAACACATCGAATGGACATTGGGATTACTGAGAGACGCTGGGTTCAAGATTGCGCTTGAGAAGAGCGAATTTTTCCTCTCGGAAATTTCGTTCCTGTGCTATGTCGTGACGCGTGGAGGATTGCGGCCAGACTCGAGAAAAGTTGCGGCGGTGAAGGAAGCTTCGGTTCCCACGTCACTGACGCAGGTTCGAGCCTTCTTGGGATTGGCGTCGTACTACCGGCGCTTCATCAAGGGCTCTGTCGCGATTGCACGACCACTAACGAATCTGTTACGGAAGGACCAGCCTCTCAGCTGCGACGCGGAGTGCCAGCAGGCCTTTGCAACCCTCAAGGACGCTCTGGCAACGGCTCCTATTTTGACTCGACCAGACCCCTCGAAGCAGTTCATTCTCATCACGGACTGGCAACCGGAAGCTATTTCCGCTATTTTAGCACAGAAGGGGAACGATGGTCGTGAACACATCATCGAGTACGCGTCACGAACCGTACCGAACGAACGAAGAAACGACTCCACACCTCAGGGTGAGTGTTATGCGGTAGTTTGGGGAATCCAACACTTCCATCCGTATCTTTACGGACATAAGTTTCACATCGTAACGGATCACGAGTCTCTGCTGGCGCTGAAGAAACTCACCAACTACACGGGCATGATTGGCCGTTGGGCGGTGCGACTACAAGAGTACGACTTCGATATCGTCCATCGAAAGACAGAGTGACACGGCAACGCAGACGGGCTGACACGTCTGCACCGACCTGCCAAGGTACCAAAGGGCGAGGAAATTACGCCGTGGAAAGAGCCGGACTTGACCAACGAGCCGAAGTACGGACAAGTGGCAGTTCTCCCACGTGGCAAGAAGCAAAACGGTGGCGATGGGTGATGGAGGCAACCTCACTACCCCTCTTTCTCCCCCGTCCTCCTCGTCTTCTCCCTCCCTACCTGACAAATTTTGCTATTTTTGTGAAGCTATCTCCCACGTCTATTCGGTCTCCATGCGTCCTAACGGGGAGGGGTATGTGGATTGGATAAATTGCCGACAGTTTGTTTCACGAGCCCATGGCTCGTGCATCCAATACAGGAATGATAGTAAACCGTGGTTGTGCCCCTTGTGCCGGACCGACAAAATTCCGACCGAGGCTCGCTTTTTGGATGCCACGTCAGAAGGATTGGAAAAGACCCAAAAGTTTAGAAGGGCCGAAGTATGGACGGATATCACCTTAATTGCCACCCTAGTAGGTAACCCCCTCCAGGATTTCACCAAGGAAGATCGGAGGAGGGCCAACGAAAGGGCTCGGGATTATCGATGGATAGAAGGGAGATTAAAAAAACGGAAAACGGACGGTAGTGGGATTTGGATGATAGTGCCGCATCCGTTCATGCGGTATGACTGGGTTAAGACAACCCACGAGGAAAGTGCGGCCCATTTTGCCGTGCGAATCACAGAGTCCGCTATCGACAAAAATGAGTGGTACTGGTCCAATATCCGCGACGATGTGAAGTACATCGTCGCCAACTGTCAAGTCTGCACCGCTGATAAAGCGTCGATTCAACCACCAATGTTGATAGTGCCTACGGTTGTTGAACGACCATTTCAGAGAGTAAGCATGGACACTACCGACATAGTGGTGCCCCCTTGCCCTAATAGTTGCGAATATTCAGTCCTATTGGTATTTGTCGACCATTTCTCGAAATGGATCGAAGCGTATACTTGTCGCACGCGGCAAGCCACGGAAATCGCGCGATATGTTAACCGTTTCCTCGGGATGCATCAGGATACGGAAGAGATCCTGACCGACCACGGGGTTGAATTCAAGGGAGAAGTATTAAGGAATCTGGTCCTACATGGCGTCGCCATACGAAACACTGCACCCCACATGTCACAATCCAATGGGCTGGTCGAAAACGCTAACCGAGTGATAAAGACAGCGTTGCGACGAAACATCGTGGCAAGGGATCCGAGACCCTGGCCCGATATCGTCGATCACATCCTGGCAGTCCATCGCGGAACGCCCCACGAATCGACGGGGCTGAGCCCCTTCCAATTAAGGACCAATAGTGTCGCTTGCGTTTCGATATCAAGCCTCCCGGATGAGTCTACATTGAACCGACGGCCCACCAGGGCCACGGCTCGGGACAAGGCCAAACGACACCTAGAGTTAATGGAACGGTCGCTGCCCAGGCTAGCCCGAAAGCGACAGAAAATGAACGAACTAGCCCAAGGCCGACAGGTCCGGAGCTACGAGGCCCGAAATGGAAATGCGGGTCCGCGGCCCCAGTACAAATTGGGGGACGTGGTGCAGGTGAGGAAATGTGCTCGCCAGGGTAAGCTAGCGCCACGATTCTTCGGGCGATATCGCGTGATCGAGCTCGGCCCCAACAGCGTGGACACCGTGCGTCTCGCCCCTGAAGTCTCTAGCAGYCGATCGGCTCGTCCGATCACACGCCACGTGTCCTATCTTTGCCTCCTCCCCTCTGCTCCGTCTCCTTCTCCCTCGATCTCTCTTTCTGAGGAAGCCGAAAACGACGACTCTGACTCTCCGCCATCTCCCTCTTCCTTTTGCTCCCTCACTGCCTCCCCATCACCATCGCCATCGCCATGAGTTTTCTAGAGGAGAGAGCCCTCAGCGAAGCAGCGCTCGCGCCCCGTGATCGATTGACGATCCGACAGGTCTATCATCCCTGTCTCATTCCAGATCTCCGGCGGCTTGCGCACTTCTTCTGCACGGAAGGCGTGTACGCAGCGGCGATATTCAGAATGGAAGGGCGGTCGGACGCGGTGGTATTGGTCGAAGCAGTAGCAGTCCATCAACGAGCGGTGCCAGTGGTCATCCGTATATCGGTCGTCATCAACTTCCGGGGTGATCTCTCCACGCTCCTTCCTCTGCGGCATTCAGCGGTGAAGGCGTCGCTGCGTGCATGGGCAAACAACCTGGTCGCCGAGTGGACCCAGCTTCTGGCTCGTCCCGGAGATACAGTCGCAACGACACGAGCGATCGAATACGACAGCCTTCGGATGTATCAGCGCGAGCCGCCGACAGATCTCCCTGTCCTCGTTTCCTTCCCACGTCCCCAATGAGTCTCTCTCCGATCTCCGTTTTCGATCTCCCCTCCACCTTCCCCACCTTCTGGCAGTCCGACATCCACCCTCGCCTTTCCTACTGTCTAAAGCCCCTTGCTGTCCCCGATATCCATCCTCCCCATTGGGTCCTGTGGCGCGAAGACTTCATCGAGCTTTCATTGTGCTTGGTGGAAGTACGGCTGACGTGGATTGAGGACGAAGCGCACCCGCCTTGCATAGAATGTCTGGAGTTGCTGTTTATCCAGGCCTGTCGAACCAACGTGGAGGGAGAGCTTCTCGCGTTTCTATTCGGTACAGTGCGGCCTGGTCATCAGGAACTCATCACGCAAGAGCTCACGATCCCGGTAGCGCAGCTGGCGGACGATCTCCCTCTCGACATCATCTCGCAAGATGACGAGCATCCCATTCCCCATGTACTTTCTCGCACCTTGACGCCTTATCTTCAGTGGTCGGCTTGTGTAGAGGGAGCCGCAGAGCGCATCCCGCCGTCACAACAACAATATTGGACCCCCGGACGGTTCGCGATCCTGCCTTCTTCAGGCATCCTACGGGGGAGCAGCTTGCGACCATTCGAGAAGAAGAGGAGGAGGAAGAGAGTGACGAAGATGAAGGCGGGCTGGAAGAAGGCAGGGATAGCGATGAAGAGCTCGGGGAAGAAGACGAAACCCCCGAAGAGGGAAGCTATAGTGAGCATAGCGAGGGGAACAGAGCGAAGAAGAAGAGGACGAGGAAGGAGAAGAGGAGCACGACGAAGAGCCTACTGGATCGGGGTGGGAAGCCGTGCCAGAAGAAGCGCTACGTTCGGGTACGGAAGCAGAAGATCTCGAGGCGGCCCGCAAAAGAGAAGAGATCGTGGCCGGGAAGGAGTTAGAGCTCGCAAGCGCGGCGAGTCTGCAGATCCACGACGACCCGAACCGAGATCAGGAGCCGCCCCGGCCTGAAGATGGCGACCTTGCGGCCACGACTTCGACCCCATCAACGCGACGACGGAGCCGATCCCCCTCCTCCCCAACCCGTCCCCCAGTTCGCCGACGTACCGATATGGGCAATCGGCCTTCGTCCCCGATCACTCTCTCGCCGTCCCCTTGACTACCTCACCCTCCGCCAGCTCACCACCCCCATCACATTCCCCTCCAATCCGTTTTCCTGCGACACCTTCCGCCACTTCTACGCTGCTCGCCTCGCTATAGTGGTGCAACCCCACCCCTCCATTCGATGCGTCGTCCCAGCCTTCTGCCTCCATGTCCTGCTCCTTAGTGCTGTGTGGCGAGGCCACAACATGATCGAGGTTTACTGCGCAATAACGGGGACTATCCCCGCATGCGAAGATCGCAATCGTTTCCGTGCGGCACTCTTTCGGACTCTCACCACCCTCTATCTTGATTATCTCGCGTTCCTCCCTCGCACTGGCAATCGCTTCCCCTGCTTTCACCGCATTGTTCGTTACCAAGAATTCCTGGAGACTGTAGCCGGAATGGAAAGTCTCCTGCCCCCATTACCCATAAACCCTCCACCTCGCCATGCACCGACTCCCTTTTCCCCTCCCGGTAAATTACTGATGCAGTAGGTAATGGATGTGTGTCGCGGCGACGGCACGAGAAAGATCCCGTCCTTGAATCGTCGAGAGCCCAATCTGAGGAACTAGTAGAAGAGCAGTGTTGCCACGATGGATGACGCCCACACGCAATCAAACGGTAAGTGGCATAGAAGAAAGTGTTCCACGTGTCGATTGATTAGAGAAATCGACACGTGTTAACAAGCAAGCAGAAACTTGCTAATATTGGAACCCCCTGGGCGTAAAATATGTGACGAACCACTTTCTGTTACGCGCAATTTTCTGCGCGGTTGCAATGAGGGGTCCTAAGCTGGGAAGATTGGGCCAATTACGAAAAATCGGGATCGGTGGAAAATTGCATCAGTACCCTTGCTTCTTCGGGGTTGGGTGTGTCCTGGGACGGTCGGTTGAGTGATTGGTCGGATGGATGTCTGGCGTGTTGTCGAGCGCATCGGCCCCCGCGTGAGCAAGGGCCCTCCCGGCTATGTCACGCAGGAGTTAAAACAAAACAAATTTGTCAAGAGACAACTTGGGAACGATGCGTAACTGATCCCGCGAGCCGCCGAGACGGTCGCGGTCAAGTCGTCCTTTCGCCGCTCTAGCCGGGTACGCCGGTTGTACATCCCACGGTCCCCTACGACAGGATAGGTTTTCGTGGGGCACATCTTACCTTCCCTAAGGGGCTGTCACCACCCTTAGGGGCGTATCCCTACCAAACTACTGACCCACGTGCGAAGGCTTTTACATGCAATTGCAGAGGTAGGTCAGCCGAGGGCGTTTGCTCGCTCACTGGAGTATAGGTACGCTTGGTTAATGCCAAGTGGACCCGAACGTTGTCCGTTCCTGAGGGCGCTGATCTCCTCGGTACGAGCGAACGTCGGTCGACTAGGACGGCCTCAACCAAACTTGAAACCCACAATATAATCCTCGTCCCTTTATAACTCTCTGACCACAAGATAGATAAATAAAATCAATTCACTTTATATCCAATCACACATGATGGGATTTTGACTTGACGAGATGATCTGCCAAAGTGATTCTTCCTGGCCTATATGGCTGAAGATATTATAATTTTGCCGCTGCTTCCAAGGCGGAGAATCGATATTGACGAAAGATTTAGAAGGCCAACCTATCCTTTAGCTTACGGTTGGGTCTGTCGATACCTATTAAACCCTGCCAGGAATGACTTCTGCAAGTAAATTTCAGTCCTACCATGTAGATCATAAAGTGATCTGGTTCCTGGTCGGAGTTAGAACTTTTGGTTCGACCACACCTCCGTACTATATGCAACGTGCTTGGAGGGAAGTATAGCGAATAAAATTTTATTGGTCGCTTTGTCCTCCTGGCAATAATTACTTTTTCTGTCCCACGAATGATGAAGTATCCATCTACGTCATTAGATCATTTAAACCAAAACCGCAATCGATATCGCTGAGCAAAGGGAACCATCTCCTTCACTACCTACTTCTTCTTGTGGGCTGGAGCTTCTCCTGTCTCCGACGCGCGCCTATCCCTCTAGGAAGTGGTCTTGTGTATACTCCTTCCCCTCGCCCGAGCCCGAAGACTCGGATCTCAGAGGTTGGGCCGTCACCACCGAGTCGGCAGAGTACCACCCCCGACGAATCGAGTCCACTCCAAGTCGATAACAGGGCCGTCTCCGAAAGCATACGAACTCCCGCCTTGGATGCTTCCTAGAGAGAAAGACTGTATTTGCCATGAGTAGGTCTCTTTTATTCTCATTATTAATAAGTTTTGGGTAACTTATGTGAAAAAGAAGCTGAAGAAGATAGACAACGAGAATCATTTGGACGGGTATGGGTAGATAAGGTCGTTCGAGATAGAAAAAGTCTATCATGGGGAGAAAATTAAATTCGTTGACCTTATCTGCCTTATTCCAATTGAATTCATTCTGTGGTGCACACATAATTGAAGTTTTCAAAAACACCAAATCATTTTCGGCATGCAGGCGGGTGAGAAGTGAAGAAAAGACAATCCTTTTCTCTTTTCTTCAACAAACATAATCAATCTTCCTTGCAAATATCCTTCTACCTACCTGCACGTCAAGCCAAACGACAAGTTCAGAGGAGAACAAGCAAGCCGAACTCACGTCAGACTCTCATTCACCCACGCAAACACACATTTTCTTTACCTTTTCAGTGAACATTCAAAGAATAGGGTCAAGCAAAGTGTGGGCTCACGCAGGTGTGAAGGGGTCTGAGTCAAACTCACCTTGAGTGAAGTTGAAACGGCTCACTCAAGGAAGCCGCCTGACGTTCTGATCAGAAGAAACAACGGTTGCCGAAGTCCAAAGTGCGTGGCTCACAACTCTCCCAATCGTGGCCGCTCCACTGCGCCATAATCCCCACCTTGCCTTCAGAACCTCTCCAATGCAGCCCCAATCGCTCCTTGACCACCAAGGATACCGCCAAACCAACTCGACAATCCACACCATCTCAGACAACTGCGTTTGCAGCCCAAGTTGGTCCCACTTGGCCCCAAGCGGCCCCGGTCGATCCCACATCATCACCCGCAATACCAGATGGTCCAGAACTGAAAACCACTTGCATTGCGCGCCGCAAAAAAAATAAAGTTGACCACAGTGAAAAATGCATGAGCCGCGAGTCTCAATAATCACTGCCGCTTGCACTCGTTCCGCATTTTTTTCATGGTACCAATCCACACCCCACTGCCGCACAATCCCAAATGTGCACCAGTGTTCATACTACCGCCGGATCATGAGAGAATAGTCCACCATGACCGTGCACATCAAAAATTAAAAGTGGGACTTCCGCTTGCCGCGCCGTCGAAACCGGTACCGCGCCGCCATACCAAAAAAATTGGCAGCACCTCCCCTTCAAAAAAGGTTGCCGTCGAGCCAAGATTTCAACAGCATGGTTCCACCGGATGCACCGCCGTACCCGTGCCTCCAAAAATTCCGACAGCGCTTCCGCGCCGCCGTCAAAAATGCTGCCGCCGCTGAGAATTTTTGGCATCGCTTCCGCATCACCACCAAAGCCCTGCCGTTGCCTCACCAAGCGGACTGCACCCCCCCTGCACCAATCCGACCATGGCTGCTTGTTGCCGCAAAAATTTCGGCAGCGCTTCCGCGTCACTGCCGAATCAATGCTGTCGCCGCCGCAAAAGCCCCGCAGCGGCCCCGCGCCACTGCCAAAAATCTCCACTATCGATGCCACACAACCAAGCAGCATCTCCCCTTGCGCTGCTGCCCATAGCCGTGGCTATGGCGGCACGCGTCTCCTCGAGCTATGCCACTGCCGTACCAGCCCTGCAGCCTTCAAGTTCTTCCTCCACCTCTCTCCCTCTTCAGTAGCTCCCTTACTCTCACCAACTGGCCAACACTCAAGCAGAGTGCAAGCAGCAGCTCAAATAAATGAGGTTGTTGCTGGCCAGCCCAGCTTTTATAGTCGGGCAAGAGCTGAAGGCATCCTGCTGCCTCCAGCTAAGTCTCGGAATAGGGCCTGGCCCTTGATCTAAAAGGAGATCAAGGGCTGGAAACCTTGATGTTCCTCTAGGGGAACCAAGTTCCTGTCCCTAATAATGCATCTGGCTGCCACCCGCGGCCAGACGCAGTCCACAAATGGTTGTATCAAGCCATTTCCAGCCTACACCTTCAACTGAACAGGCCAGGTCCCATCAGCCCCTAGAAGCTTCTGGGGCTGCACCTGTTCGATGACCGCGACCAAATTCGTGGCCGTTACTTTTTTTTTTTTTCTCTGCACCTCTCAACCACGCCTGCACCTGGACTTCCACGTTGCCAGGTTCGAGGTCGATCGTACAGTTGCTGCCCGTTTTCATCACGAACGGCCACAACTGTCTTTCAGAAGGAAGAAGAAAAAACAAAGAAAAGCAAACAAGGACAAAGAAATGACTTACCTTCACATAGCCGCCTAACGCGGCACCTTCATCGGCCTTTGCCCATCCACGGATGGGCCGTCGGGGCACAGCCCCCTGGTGAGTCGGTGCTAGTCTGACGAAACCGCCTGTCTCAGTCACGTCCCCCCCCCCCCCCCCCTCTCTCTCTCTCTCTCTCTCTCTCTCTCTCTCTCTCTCTCTCTCTCTCTCTCTCTCTCTCTCTAAAACTCCCGAATGTGGCCGCCCTGGGCGACAGGTTCATTCGCCCATCCGCAGATGGGTTGTCGGGGCAAAGCCCCCTGATGAGTCGGTGGAAGTCCAACGAAACAGTCGGGCGCAGTCATGCTTCCCCGTTCATTTGAAACGAATGGGTGCGTTCACCCAGGTAACTTCAAAAAAGAAAAAGAAAAAAATCTAAATAAAATCTACGAAGAAAATCTAAAAAAAAATCTAAAACGAAATC